ATACATACATACATACATACATACATACATACATACATACATACATACATACATACATACATACATACATATCAATCAAGTCTGTCCTGTAAACAAAATATGTTGCAGTTTACAAATTTGCAGTAAATAATATTTTCAGCGAAAATACTTTGAACATCAAAATGAGCACAATGTGCCCATTCATTCTCACTATTATCAGGAGAAATTAAAGCTGGCAAGGGTCTTCAGAAGAATGACACAAGTAATTGTGCATATTCATTGGTGAATTGAGATACAGTGTTCCTGCATCAGACGATTAATGTACTAATCTAAAATTCATCTCGGCTTCATCTCATATTTTTGTGTCCTGATTTATGATTAATACAAAAACATTCTATTTAACGTTTCAGTTAAGTTCTTTCCAGATGTCTGTACGATCAATAATGAAATGAATGTTTATGTTAGGACTAGTAGGTCTTCAAGATCTTTACAACCTGTCCCACACTTCTCAGTCCTAAATTGCCTCCAGGTGTTTTGGAGGTTAGTATGTCCTCCTGGCATTCTTTGTTCTTGAGATTGGTTCCTCTGTCTGTGGGAAACTTCTTGATCAAGTAATAGGTGGTTCTTAATGGTCTCAAGGGAGTTCAAAGGAAAAGATGAGGGTAGATACCTATTAATAATTGATTTCACAGACTTTGGCAACATAAAGAAAACTGCATATTACATATGAGACACAATCTTATTTAGTACTATCCCTTAAGAGAAAAAGGTAGGTATATGCCGCCAGCTGGTAATTATTGCCTTGAAATTCCACAAACGTCTGTATGTACAAAGCTTTTCTTAATATTAACGCAATAACCATTTAAAGTGCAGAAAGCCAGAATGCATTGCAGCTGAGTACTCAACGAAACGAAACTGGGAATCAAGTGCTGGAAGGAAAATAACTTCTTGGCTTTGGAACCTTGAAGACTTATTTTGATGCAATGCAACATCTTTCAGAGCTGCTGTGTGCACAGTTGAGATAGCTATGATGATGTTCAACCTTCTGGTGGAGAGAGGAAAAAGAGGGGGAAGCAACAGTAGCTGTCCTGAATACCAATGCCTTTTATTGAGGAATCCCTTTTGTTCTTTTTCCTTCTCTCCTTGCACTCACGCTGCTGATTGTTGCTGGAATATCCTTTTCTATGTGTTTATTCCAAGATCTGGAATGTACTTTATACTTGGCTTGAGGGACAGTTGCCAGCATCAACCCGCTTCATTGTCTTGGGTGCAACACATTTAGAAATAAAATCTATTCCTTTCTGCCCCCTTTTACACACTTTCCCCTATTTAGTGGCTCACTTTGTTTTAAGGGGATAGCGAATATACTGTTTGTTGTTTAATTGAACAATGTTTTCTTTTATAATACAGTATTGCTGTCCCTTGCCACTTTAAATTGCAGGGGTGCCATTTTAGCTGGGGGCAAAACCAAGCAGCTAATGCAGTATTCACAAAGCTTGGAATCCTGCTTGTTCTTACAAGTTTTCAACAGTGCCAGTAGAAAACATTGGCCCCAAATAATCATTCAATGCCTAAAATACATCTTGTGCTTTTCAGTGTAAGTCTCCATCTTCAGGCTAAAATCTTGCAGATGTGGACCAGTTCTAGTCTCTGGTCTCTCTTGTGTGTTCATATATATCAGGAGAAAATGGAGACCATTGTGATACTGCCAAGACCAGCTTGGTAGGACTATTGAAATAGGCACCACAACACCAAAATTACGACCTCTGTAAACGTGGCACTCAATGAGGTGCATCTTTTCTGCAGACAAATATTTTCATTCACTAAATGGTCCGCTCTTGTTTTGCTTTTCAGTATTTCACTTTCCTGGCTAGCACAGCTACAGGATCCATGAAGTGAAGTATATGTAACATTGTTCATGAATTGGCACTCACATACTGTTCTAATATAATTTGTTTTAACATTCTGGTAGAAGTGTCGCTTTATACTGCGGTTAATGTGTTCAGACATTTTAAGATGTGGAACGAGTTACCACTGACCCTCAAAAGGGACTTACGTCAATTGAAAGTTAGGTCTTCTGCTTTTAGTTTTAGAGCCACCTTTATTTTGGGTTTTCCTTTAAAATGTTTTAGAGAATATACGAAGAGCCCGAAAAACCCACAACAACCACAATATATAATTTAGCTCTTACTTGAAGTTGTTTCTTCACAGACCATGAGTTTTGACTTCGTTAATGATGTACTGTACTACATTACATTACTCAACATAAGAAAAACTTTAAGAAAGGGTTGAATGAATTTGTACACTTTGCATAACCTCTTAATGCCAAACAATAGGCAAGTATAAATTAAATAGGCTGATACAAGTTTTAAGCATAGTAAAAAGTGGCACCATGTGCTTCTCCTGTTTAAAAGGTAAAGGTTCCCCTTGACAATTTTTGTCCAGTCGTGTTCAACTGTAGGGGGCAGTGCTCATCCCCGATTCTAAGCCATAGAGCCAGCGTTTTGTCCGAAGCCATATTCCGTGGTCACATGGCCAGTGCGACTTAGACACGGAACCGCTAAGTTGGCGGGAGCTGGGACAAGCGACGGGCGCTCACTCCATCGCGTGGATTCGATCTTACGACTGCTTGGTCTTCTGACCCTGCAGCACAGGCTTCTGCGGTTTAGCCCGCAGCGCCACCACATCCCTCCGTAGCGCCACCCTCTGCATTAATTGTGAGGAAATGAAATGAAGTGCAGTATTGTGTGATAAACCTCTTACACATTTTAAATTGATGCTACTGCAGTTTTTTACTACTCTAAATCAACCTACATTTGTCGGAACAATGTATGGGTTGGATCCAGATTTAGACATGTTCCAGCAGATTGGAGGAATGGGACTTTCGCCCCTTACTCACTGTAGTGGCCCCTCTAGTCTCCTGAAAATATCAGGAGTCAGGAGTGGGGATACTGAAAACTGGCTATAAAATTAGCTCTTCAACCAGTGGAATGTGTATCCTGGGTCCATTCCCATATATTACTGCTGTACATAATTCAATTCTGCAGCCTATATTGCATTGAGGACTAGTCTCTTATAACACGAAACAGCATCCGTAACTTTATAAGTTAAGGATTTATTATTTTATTTGTTTCCTAGACACTGTCATTGGTTTGTATTTGTGTGCATGTCTTAGTTACACTGTATACATGAATATTGCCAGTATATTGGAAAAGGCAAAAATAATTGCTTACAGTTGCTTTGTTTTTAAAATTCCACAACTAGAACTTGGATTTAAAGTTTTTAGAAAGTGGAACTGGAAAATAAGTGAGCTTCTTGAAGGTTTAAAACCATACGCATGGTTGCAATATGGGCAAAATTGTGTAGCATTACCATGCGCTTAACTCATTTGGACACTGAAAGCATTTAAAACTAATTAAAATTTCTTTTCCCCCGTCTTTCATGTTCTGAATCTCCCTAGGGAAAGCTCTTGGAAACACCAGAACCTGAAGGGGGAATAGAAAGATTTTAATTAAATGTTTCTGATCTGGATTACACCAGTGCAAAGTTATGGCAACAGGATTTTGCTGTGTTACGTAGTAAAGGATGATGTACTCAATTTACCAGAAGAATTTTCTTTTAAATAAATTGTCTATGTACAGTAGGAAGATTTGAGAGTAGGAAATCACTGTGTCCATATAAATTTTTGCACAGGAATGTTTCTTGATTCACAATATGCGCAATTTTTGAAGATAGTAAAAACTATCAAAATAAATTTAATAATTTGTTAATAGGAAAATATTGTTCTTAAATTATATGACTACTAAGATTATTGCTTTTCAGGCAAGTTTACATAGCTCTGATGTAGGATACAGAATGCAGAAATTCACTGGATAGGACAATAACGTCTTGGCTTAATATGTAGAAATTTGATTCAGGTACACAAATCCATGCATAGCTGATTGGTTATTCTTGTTGTATAAGTGTTGAAACTAGCCAGCAGACTAACCCTAGATCCTCATTATGTTCTAGTGCACACAGGAAGGGAGACACAAGGTGTTTCAAAACATGCCAAAATATGAAGCAAATATTGTATTGACACAAAGAGATAGGTTCCATCAGGGTCAGGAGATATTTTTAAATGGTTAAATCAAGATCTGATCATCTGAATGCAAGCCAGTAGCTCAAATCCTGTTGCTTGCTGTAGTCAATAGAAGTAGATCTATTTGAATCAGAAATTTGCAGAGTTGACTCATCAAATTCCCACTGATTCAGTGGGCCCATTCTAGTACAATTTACTATGCTAAGCAACAGGATTTTGGCCAGTGTGTTTAATTCTAGCATTTCATGTGAACTTAATACATCTTTTTACTGAGCCAGCCTCACATGATTAATAATGGTGAAGAGTGGAAGGGCCCAGGGTGGGATCATTCAGCTGGCGCAACAGTTCTTGCATGCGGTGGGGATTTTACTGTGCTCTTCAGACTCCCAGATTTTAATTTAAACTTATTAATCATGTTTTAATTAAGCAGGAAAAAGCATTTTATACCATTTTGAATTGAAATCCTCCTCATTCCACTATTCTGCATAGCCTTCCCTAGCCTAGTTCGTTCCAGATGTTGTGGATTTAAATTCACATAATCCTTGCTATTGTCCAAGTTCGCTGCACCTAATAAGAGTTGCTGCTTGCCCAGAATATCTGGAGGATGTCCAGGTCAGGGAGCACTGCTCTTATACATTAGGCTACACAGGAGAACATTCAGAAGGCTTCAGTGTGGTCTTTGCAATATACAGTATATATTGGGAGACAAATAAGGTGATTAGGAGAGGAGAAATGCATTTTTACAACTTGGGAGTGGAAAGATACAGCAGAGGAGAAAGATTAATGAAAAAAGGGATGATTGAGGTAAAAGCAAGGAAGTGTGTAGCTCCTTCACCAGATGCACAACTGTGATTTTAAAAATATTTGTTCATTACAAATGGTATCTGTCTTTCTTTACCAATTTTTTTTTAAGGAGCATTAGGTGCTTAGGCAGTAGCACAGTGTTAAGTCTTTGATTACTAGGAAGTATCTTCCAACTCAGGCCTGTGAGTCACTAAGAAGTCTTCACAAAGGTGGCAAAACAGTGTCTGAACTAAGGATTCACACTTACCGTTCCACTTACCAAAGCAGCCAAAACTAAGGAATACTTACTGCCCATGCAGTCTCGGCTGCGTACCATAATTCAGGGTGAAAGCATGGAAAATTGCCAGCTACATGCGCAAAATAAACTTTCTTAAATCAATTCAAGGACTTGCATTTATCTTACACGTAACTGGGCAGACTGATTAAAAGTTGCTTGAATTTCTGACCCAGTTAGTGACTGATCAAATGTTCTGATTGGTAAAATAGGGTAAAGGTTGCATCATTTATTTAATGGACCACTGAAAAATATGATGCACTTAAAGTTGTACCATTCACTTTCTTTTTAGGCACAATCCTTGTTTAGTGACCAGAGCAACGTACCTTGATATCCTTGTTCTGCTGAATAATTACCTTGGAAAATCCAAAATAAAAGGTAAGTTTAAACTAAGATGTCACTTCCTCCTTGTAAAGCTCTTCAAGGCATGCACTTCGACTGGCGAGGTTGAGTTTTGGGGTGGTGCTGGAATCTAGAGGTTGATGAAACTGGAATCAGGTTATGTTCTGCTTATCTCCCAAGAAAGGCAAAGTTATGTAACCCATGTTTCGGAAAAGAGGTTATTCTCCATGAGTTGGAAGATGAGGGGATAAGGATGCAACCGGTGCTAAATGTCATTACACCCCTCCTGAAAGCTCAGGTCTTCATCTTAGTTTATTGTACTGGATTCATTCCTGAGCCTGGGTGCCCAAGTTTCAGCAGGAGTGCATTTGCCCTGTTAAAACTGGCGTGCAAGATGCGCCTGTTCCTTGAGATGTCTGATTTAACTACAATGATGTATGCCTTAGTCATATCCTGCTTGGATTACTGTAATGCATTCTACCTGTTAAAACTGGTGTGCAAGCTGCGCCTGTTCCTTGAGATGTCAGCTCATTTTAAATGTAGCCGGCCGGCCGCTGACTGGGGCCAGTTATAGGGAATATATAATGCTCCAGCTACTACAACTGTATTGGCTATCAGTCTGTTTTCAGGCCCAAATCAAACTGCTGGTTGCCACCTATAAGGTCCTAATAGGTTTAGATCCAGGCTATCTGGTTACAGCTGCCTTTGAAAAAGACTTCAGCTCATTTAAAATGTAGCTGCCTGGCTGCTGACTGGGGTCAGTTATAGGGAATATATAATGCTCCACCTACTACAACTGTATTGGCTCTCAGGCTGTTTTCAGGCCCAATTCAAACTGCTGGTTGCCACCTATAAAGTCCTAATAGGTTTAGATCCAGGCTATCTGAAGGATTTACTCCACTTTATAAAACAGGTAAATTTGAAATATATTTTATTGACCACATGACAAAAAGACTGATCTGTATTGGTCCAGCCCTCTTTGCTACTAAAGTGACTCTCCCCTTGCCATTGGGTGGTTCTAGCTTTTCAAGGCAGAACGCTCTGAATGGACTTTTTCCCATGTGGTTATTTGTGATGCATTCTTGTAAAGACAGGGTGTGTCTGTAGGTGGTGTTCTTGTGACACAGGCAGTTGGGACATGATTTTCAGGACCAGGGATGAGGTTGGGGGGCATGCAAAAGCAAAGCACCATGATTATGGTTTGCTGTGAAGCTGCTTTTTCTTTTAAAGCTCCAGACTACTAAATTTCTGAAAAACTTTTCTATAGAAAAATTAGAAGGGAAAGCATTTCATAGTCTCTGAATACAGAACATCAAATGTTTGAACACTTAATTTAGCAAAATACATGGTTATTCATAACTAACAATGATTCCGTACACGATCACCACTTCCCATCACCTATCTGTTACACCTTTCCCTTACTTTCAAGTAATGCATGCAGGAAGTACTGATTTCAGGAGACACGTGGTTTAAAACTAGTCACATGAGGATATAAAAATATCCTACCCTCAACTGAAGCAAGATCTTTTTCAATTATTTAAGAGATACTTTACTGATCTCTGGTCCTCTCATTGCTGGTTCTTTTTAGCTATTGTCTCAAGACTACTATATTATGTATAAATACATGTTTGTTATTCCCCTCCCCCCCACTTTTTCACCAAAGGGTGTTTCTCAAGATGGATACTCCAGCTCTCTGTTTCCTGGCCTTTTTTTTTTTTTTGAGTTGCAGCCCTTTTTCATAATAGCTAAGTAAATTGCTATGCCCCACCACTTTGCATGAAAAGACATTTTAATGGAGTAAAGTAAACACATTAAAATAGATTTTTCAGAATATAATTCCAACCTCATATATAATGTGATGGTTGTACTTGCATCTGGGCAATAAATAAGTATTGAAAACCTCTGTGGTGAAATTTCCCATAAAAATAATTGTAACTAAAAATAACCATGGTGGCACACAGAGACCCCAGGAAGCACTTTGCCACCCTCTTGGGGGTCATGACCTTCAGGTTAGGAACCTGTTCTCTACCTCTACTACTTATCTTGTTCTAAAAGACCATTGTAGTTGAAACAGGGAACTTCGTATTTATTAAGCTATGGAAAAATTATTATCACTTTCTAGGAGACAAACAAATAATTATAATTAAGATAAAATGAACTAAGGTAATTGGGGATACAGTAGTCCAAACACTTTATGAGCAGCTGCGTAGAAAGATATACAATGCAATATTGAAAAGCAATTTTTAATCTGCCAATAGGGATTGAAGTGTTAGCATAAAAGTATATACATTGCCTAACCAGATTTAACTTTCAGATTTGCCTCTTCCTTTGGAACATTCATTTATAAATCTTGCCAAATGCTTCTATTAAAACATATGAAAACAAATGTCAAACTTTCCAAATAATTTTTTCATAACCCTGCTTTTCCCACAGATGTATAAATGTAGAGAGAATTATCTTTTTTTCTTAAAAGCAAAATTTATAGTGTTTAAGTTGGGCTAAAAAAAAAAACAAGACAAATTACATTGCATTTTTTCATCCTTTATTTATAAATGCTCAAAAGTAATATATTAAGTTGTCTACTCCACAGGCTTTTTATCTTCTCAAGCACAATCCAGTGTTACTATCTAAGGAAAATATATTTTTGGCTTTTATTATTAATTAGAATGCATGGCTCTTATCCTGATTTTCTGCCAAATGCAATAAATATTTGTCAGTTCTATTTCTGTTTTATCTTAATCCCAAAAATGTTTCTCTGACCTATTATAGAAAATGGTAGTGAAATGTTTGAACTGTTTGTTTAAATGATAAGACAGTCCCTGTTATAAATCAGTTCAATAATGAATTTGTGGTACTTGTTCTTAAAAGAAGTTAAAGGTTACTTAAAGGAGCATTTTTAAAAGCTGCCATAAAAACTGGGAATAGTTAAATGGCAAAGTTTATTTAAAAAATAGAAGGTCGGATATTACTCTGTGGCTTTAATAATAAATATGTGACAGGAATAAATACCACAGCCTATGCTGATGAAATTTTAACTTTAGATCTCTTTAAGGAGTATGTCCAAAAAATTTAAGGGTATAAAAACTTTGGCAGCAAATACACATTTTCTTTTATGTAGTGGTCTAATTAGTAACAAAATTCATCCAAATGAAATGAAAACCATTTCCTTCTCTTAGATCATAAATTTTGGATGCAGATGAGTTTCTTTATAGGTATGGTCAACTCAATTGTTATGCAGAAAGCTCAACTTACACAGTTACATTTGTGGGAAGACGATATCATAAGTGTGTATATATTATTTGAAAATGGTGGACTTTTGCTATCGTGTCTGACGGTAAAACAACAACAGTAAAATTAATGTTTCAGTTAAGTATGTTTAATCAGCCACTTCCCACCCCTTCAGCACAATCTTATTTTAGTACCGCTATCTTCTTTAGCTGATGAGAGAAATGGGGAAATGGGATTTAGCATCTAGCTTTCTTGCTTATCTGCATATTTGAAGACACTTCCTTCATCCCATACCCAGCCAAGGCTTAACTAAGGATTGTTTTGAAGTAACTGTAGGGGAACAGTGGCTGGGATATAGTAGTGATGCAAGGAGGGGCAGGGATAGGAAGAGGAAGATAAAATAAATCTAAATATTATGTGTTGCACTTGCCCTACCTTTCTTGTTTTTGTAACTTCACCACATAAATCCTTCAGCAGCCTCTTGAATATTGCTTATTATTTTTTTAAAAATACAGTATACTGGCTTGAAAGGCTTCAGGGTAAAGAGTCACAGACTCCCAGTAGAACGTTCTGCAAATCTTTTTGAACTCAGGATCTTTTTCTGAATGTTACCTTACAGTGTAACCAATCTACTTACTCCCACTCTGAGCAACTCACAAGTATACATAAACCTGACCCACAACTACATATACAGTGGTGCCCTGCTTGACAATTACCCCGTTGGACGTCAAAATCGCTTGACGATGAGTTTTTTGGGATTGCTATAGCGATCGCAAAACAGTGATTCCAATTCATTTTACGACGATCAGTTCCCTGCTTTGTGAACCGTTTGTTTGCTTTACGATGATTAAAAACAGCTGATTGTCGGGTTTACAAAATGGCTCCCCACTTTTATCCGGACCTATTTCTGGAAGACAACGATGCAAAATGGCTTCCCCTATGGAGGATCTTCGCTGGACGAGCAGGTATTTACCCCATTGGAATGCATTGACCGGTTTTCAATGCATTTCAATGGGGTTTTTACTTTCGCTTGATGACGATTTCGCTTAACACCAGTTTTAACGGAACGCATTATCATTTTCCGGCGGGGCACCACTGTATATAGTCTTCTGGTGCATATGCTGTGTGGATTTCCATCTAAATCTGAGGAAGCTATTTCAGTTCTAGTTTGGTGTCTGGTGTTGGCAGTGGGCTGGATGAGGGTGAATAAATTGAAACTTAATGTATTCGCGAAGGCTTTCACGGCCGGGATCTAATGGTTGTTGTGGGTTTTTCAGGCTCTTGCTTATCTGCATATTTGAGGACACTTCCTTCATCCCATACCCAGCCAAGGCTTAACTAAGGATTGTTTTGAAGTAACTGTAGGGGAACAGTGGCTGGGATATAGTAGTGATGCAAGGAGGGGCAGGGATAGGAAGAGGAAGATAAAATAAATCTAAATATTATGTGTTGCACTTGCCCTACCTTTCTTGTTTTTGTAACTTCACCACATAAATCCTTCAGCAGCCTCTTGAATATTGCTTATTATTTTTTAAAAAATACAGTATACTGGCTGTCCTCTGAAGATGCTGTCCACAGAGACTGGCGAAACATTAGGAAAAACAACCTTCAGAACACGGCCAAAGAGCCCGAAAAACCCAGAGCAACCAAACTGAAACTTAATCCAGACAAAAGGTGGTTCTGCTCAGTCAAAAGGCAGATTTCAGGAATAGGGATCCAGACTGTGCTGGATGGGGTTACACTTCCTCTGAAAACATGAGTGCACAGCTTAAGTGAGTTCCTTGATCTGCCCCGATCAGGAATGCTCC